TATATATATATATATATATATATATATTAAAAGCAATATATATGTACATAAAGAATATGAGCAGGCATCCTAGGCGATTATCAACAGAACTAGTAATTTGTAGTAGGAGTTCACTAAAAATTTATTACTTTGCTGGGCAAGATAGGATTCCAGATTACTCCCTTTATTATATATATATATATATATATATATATTAAAAGCAATATATATGTACATAAAGAATATGAGCAGGCATCCTAGGCGATTATCAACAGAACTAGTAATTTGTAGTAGGAGTTCACTAAAAATTTATTACTTTGCTGGGCAAGATAGGATTCCAGATTACTCCCTTTATATTGGATTGAACACCTCTCATTATCAAGAATTTTATGTTAAATGTAAATTATTATGTTTACTATTTGTAGAAGTAAATTGCATGGTTAAGGATTACTTGCACACAGTTTCTCCTACTTGGCACTTATATACACCCTCAAAAAAATTTTGGCAGCGCCTGCCTACGTACTGTGAGGTTTTTTGAACTTTGCACTTTTAACACTTTTTAATTTAATTATGAGAACATGGAAAATGTCTCTCTAAAATTTTCATGCCACGTTTCCATGTTAATTTTATAACTTGTTAATTCTTCATATCTATTCCTCTATAATATTATAGGAGGATCCAAAGATTTACTATTCATGCTATAGTAAATTATTATAGTATTATTATTGCAACGTGTACGGAAACTGTAGCGTTTTAAAATATTTCTGTAATATTATCACTGTAGCACAGACGAAACACCGTAGCATTTTTAAAAAAGTACTACTGTAATAAGTACAAATACAATTAAATAGAATTACTGTAGCAGAAATAGAAAAAATGTGGGCACTGCTTTGGACAGGGTGTACACTAGTTTGTTAAGGGGTGGCACTACATGCACACCTCCAACCACACCTTGGGGCACACCCCCTCTCTCAGCTACAGTGCACGGGGCCCACTTTAGATTTTTTTTTAAAAATCTAAAGTGGGCCCCGTGCACTGTAGCTGAGAGAGGGGGTGTGCCCCAAGGTATGGTTGGAGGTGTGTCTGTAGTGTTTTCCTTTGTTAAGTTATTGTTAAACCTATTGAAACCATATGCGGCCTAACCAGATTGTGCGAATAATAATTGTAATTGACTCTAGCCACAGTTAAGTGGGCTACAGCCCAGCCCAACCCAACCCAGTAAAGACGCCCACAAGATTAAGTCCATGTAGTGGACTCACACCGCCCTCTAAAGTCTAAACCCTGCTTCTTCTTCTTCTTCAAAGCTCGCAACTTTAGCTCTCTCTCTTTCCTCTCTCTCTCTAATGGCGG